AGCCCCAGGAACCCCTCCTGCCCCATCCCATCACTGCCCTCCGGAACTTTCCATAAGCAGAACCACACAGCGTAAGCTTGGCGTGTCTAGCCTCTCCCATTCTGCTTCATATCTATGGATTCTCCTGCACCGGCACTGTGGTTTGGGGTAGCACGCCATTTAATTTGTTTGATTTGAATATTAAAATATTCCTTAATATTTTAAGGGGGCTCCCTTTAGGCATCTGTTTGATTTGCCCCACACTGATGTACCTGCAGCTTCAAGGCTTGCATTCAAGGCTTGCATTATTTTAATCTCTAAAGAGAGAGTCGGCTGTTGAAAGCAGAAATAATCAGGTGTTGTGTGGTCCCTACACACGAGGACGTCCACCGCTGCCCGGGCCGTGGCCAAACGTGGCCTGAAGAACCACTGTGGTAAGCAGCCACAGCTGGACATGACACCCTAAGCAGCCACCGAAATCACACCGTAAAGAGTCACAGCTGGGGGCCAACTCAGGACAAAAGGCGTGATCACAAAAATGCATCCACAAGAAGGCAGGGAGAGAGGAAAAGGGAGCAGAGCAGAGGAAGACAGACCGGAGCCCGAGCCCGAGCCCGGAGTGTGGGTTCTCTCAGCCAGGACGGCACCGCCGGCAAACGCTGTGGCCTGGTGCTCGTCGTGTCCTCCCCCCATGGTGTCCTCGTCTGTCTGGGACCCAACTGCAGTTAGCTCTGCTCTCTCCTCGCTCTGCTCCACTCTGTAACACCGACGTGGTCTTTTCTTCCTTGTCTTTTATGAAGTGCACTGATCAGTCACTTGTAATATGTCTTTCAATTCGGGTGTGTTTGAGGAGCTCTCACGACTGGAGTGAGATCATGCATTATTGGCAAGAATGGCCCAGAAGTGCTGGCGTGTGTTTCTCGGTCCACTGCATCAAGGGCTAAGTGACACTCATTTCTTATTACTGATGATATTAACCTTGGTCCCATAGGTAGGGTGGTTTCTGCTATGCTTCTCCACCGTAAAATGATTATTTTTCCCTTTGTAGTTAATAAATATATGAAGATACCTTGGTGCTGTAGAAACCCTGTAGGAAGCAAAGTGTAAAGACAAAGTGTGAGGATGAAATTAGACACCCCACGCTGACGTAATTGCAACCAGGCTGCAGCGGCTGTGCTAGTGTCAGACAAAACCGAGTTCAAGGCAAACAATCTGGGGGTAAAGAGGGTTATCTCATAATGATGAAGGGCCAGTTTATAAAGAAGACATCATAATCTGAATAAAGGACTTCAAACTACATGAAGCAAAAGCTGATAGAAGTGCAAGGAACAGCAGACAAATCTACAATCACAGTCGGAGTCATCAGCACCTCTCTGTCAACAATTAATAGAAGATCAGCAATAACGTAAAATTCTAGGCTCGCACTATCAGCAGTCTTGATCTCATCAACACTTCTAGAACATTCCACGGAGCAACCGTACAACACATTTAAGTACACATATAACAATTATTAACACAGGCCCCTTTCTGGACCGTAAAATGAGTCAATCAGTTTAAAAGGACCCAAAGCATACAGAGTATGTTCTCTGACAATGAATTTAAATTAATAATCAGAACCAGAAAGCACTCTGGAAAAGCCCCAAATCATCTGGACACAAAATAAAACACTTCTAAATCCACGAGTCAAAAAAGAAATCAAAAGGTAAATTAGAAAGTGTTTCAAACTTAATGAATTTCATTAAGAATTTCTGGGATGCAGCTAAAGCAGGACTTGGAGGGAAATTTATAGCGCTAAAATGCCTGTACTAGAGAAGAAGAAAAGTCTCAAACCAGTGAGCTCAGCTTTCACCTTAAGAAACCAAAAAAATGAAGAGAAATTAAATTCAATGTAAGGAAAAGATCAATTGGGAAATAAAAAAGTAAACAATAAGGAAGTCAATGAAACTAAATACTGGCTCTTTGAAAATGTCAATAAAATTGGTAGACTTCTATCCTGACTAGTCAGTAATAGAAGAAAGAAGATGCAGATTACCTATATCAGGAATGAATTGACATCACTTCACATTCCATATTGAAAAGATAACTAGGGGACATTATGGATAACTTTATACTGATAAATTCAACAATTTAAATGAAACAGACAATTCCTTTTTTTATTTATTTAAATTCAATTAACCGACATAGTGTATTATTAGTTTCAGAGGTAGAGGTCAGTGATTCATCAGTTGCATATAATACCCAGTGCTCATCACATCACGTGCCCGCCTTAAGGCCCATCACCCAGTTACCCCATCCCCCTCCCACCTCCCCTCCAGCAACCCTCAGTTTGTTTCCTATGATTAAGAGTCTCTTATGGTTTGTCTCCCTCTCTGATTTCATCTTATTTTATTTTTCCCTCCCTTCCTCTATGCTCCTCTGTTTTGTTTCTTAAAAATTCCACATGTGAATGAGATCGTATGATCATTGTCTTTCTCTGATTGACTTATTCCGCTTAGCATAATACCCTCTAGCTCCATCCACGTCATTGCAAATGGCAAGATTTCATCTTTTCTGAGGGCTGAGTAATATTCCATTGTATATATGGACTACATCTTCTTTATCCATTCGTCTGTTGATGGACATCTGTACTCTTTCCATAGTTTGGCTATTATGGACATCGCTACTATAAACATTAGGGCACGGGTGCCCCTTCAGATCACTGCATTTGTATCTTTGGGGTAAATACCTAGTAGTGCAATTGCTGGGTCATAGGGTAGTTCTATTTTCAACTTTGGGGGAACCTCCATACTGTTTTCCAGAGTGGCTACACCAGCTTGCATTCCCACCAACAGTGTAGGAGGGTTCCCCTTTCTCCACATCCTCGCCAACATCTGTCATTTCCTGACTAATTTTAGCCATTCTGACTGGTGTGAGGTGGTATCTCATTGTAGTTTTGTTGTTGTTGTTGTTTAAAGATTTTATTTATTTGACAGAGAGAGACACACAGCCAGAGAGGGAACACAAGCAGGGGGAGTGGGAGAGGGAGAAACAGGCTTTCCACCGAGCAGGGAGCCCGATGCGGGACTCAATCCCAGGACCCTGGGATAATGACCTGAGCTGAAGGCAGACACTTAAGGACTGAGCCATCCAGGCACCTCTCATTGTGATTTTGATTTGTATTTCCCTGATGCTGAGTGATATGGAGCATTTTTTCATGTGTCTGTTGGCTATTTGTATGTCTTCTTTGGAGAAATGCCTTTTCATGTCTTCTGTCCATTTCTTGATTGGATTATTTGTTCTTCGGGTGTTGAGTTTGATAAATTCTTTATAGATTTTGGATACTAGCCCTTTATCTGCTAAGACATTTGCAAATATCTTCCTCCCATTCTATAGGTTGTCTTTTAGTTTTGTTGACTGTTTTCTTTGCTGTACAAAAGATTTTTATCTTGATGAAGCCCCAATAGTTCATTTTTGCCCTTGCTTCCCTTGCCTTTGGAGACGTGTCTAGCAAGAAGTTGATGTGGCTGGGTCAAAGAGGTTTGCTGCCTGTGTCCTCCTCTAGGATTTTGATGGATCTCTATCTCACATTTAGGTCTTTCATCCATTTTGAGCTTATTATTGTGTGTGGTGTAAGAAAATGGTCCAGTTTCATTCTTCTGCATGTGGCTGTCCAATTTTCCTGACACTATTTGTTGAAGAGACTGCCTTTTTTCCATTGGCTATTCTTTCCTATTTTGTCTGAGATTAGTTGGCCATAGAGTTGAGGGTCCATTTCTGGGTTCTCTATTCTGTTCCTTTGATGTATGTGGAAACAGACAATTCCTTGAGAGAGATGAACTACCAACACTCAGTCAAGGAAAAATATAACTTCAGCAGCTCTATCTCATTAAATAATGTAATAACGTATAAAAATGATGATACATCATAGCCAAGTGGGATTTATTCCAAGGACACAAGGTTAATTCAACACTTGAATATCAGTTAATATAATCTCCCATAAGAACATATTAACTTTAAAAAAGCTTCTCAATGGGTGAAGAAAAGACATTTGACAAAATCCAAAACCCTTCCTGATAAAACAAACTCTCAGCAAACTAGAAATAGAAGGTATCAACCTTAAAAATAAAATAACCACTTCTTTTACTAGCAAAATGAGTTTATCCAGGAATAGCAGAGGAATTGCAATTTGGAGTGAGGCAAATTATGGTGAGCCAAGGCAGGTCCAAAGAGATAAAGGGAAGGTCAGCTTTTATTTGGTTTCAGGAGGAAGTTGGGGAGGGTTGTTTTAAACAGTTTATTGGAGAAAACAAGAGTTCGAGGTTGTGGCATTTCCTCATTGGCAGTAAGTGGTCGTGAGTTAGTGTGCTGTTGCTAGGACAGGGAGGGATCTTCCTTCCTCTCTTTAAGAGTAGGAGATTAAATTCCTATGGGAAAAATGTCCTCCTTCATCAAGATAATTCTTATCTTCCTCCTTCCTGCTGGTGATGCAGGCTGCAAGGAGTGGGACATGAGTGACAGTGCTTCTTTGGGGCTTCCTGACTCCATTTTCAAGAGGTTTCCTCTATTTTCACAAAGGGAACATCCTCTTACTGGTAAGAGCAGCTACAAAAACAATCTACCACCAACATTATTCTTAAAGGACTGAATGCGCTCCCTCTACGATTGGGATGAACAAGAATATGTGCTCTCAGCCCTCCTGTTCAGTATCGAAATAGAGGCTCTAGCCAAAGCAGTCAGACACAGATTGAAGTAAAAGGCATCCAGACTGGAAAAAAAAGAATAATCTTTTTATTTACAGATAACGTGATTGTATATGTAGAAAATCCTCAGGTGTCCATAAAAAAAAGTTACTAGAACAAATAAGTGATTTTAGCAAAGTTAAGATCAGTATACAAAAATCTCTTTTAGGGGCGCCTGGGTGGCTCAGTCGTTAAGCGTCTGCCTTCGGCTCAGGTCATGATCCCGGGGTCCTGGGATGGAGCCCCGCTTCGGGCTCCCTGCTCATTGGGAAGCCTACTTCTCCCTCTCCCACTCCTCCTCCTTGTGTTCCCTCTCTGGCTGTGTCTCTCTCTGTCAAAATAAATAAAAAATAAAAAATAAAAAAAAATCTTAAAAAAAACCAAAAATCTCTTTTATTTCTATATATTAGCATTTAACAAGCAGAAATTGAAATAAAGATACCATTAACAATAACATGAAATTATGAGAAATAAGTCTGACAAGAGATAGGCAAGATATGTAAACCAAAAATTACAAAACACAGCTGAAAGAAACAAAAGCAGTTCTAAATAAATGAGAAGATATACCATGTTCATGGACTGAAGTACTCAATATCATCAAGATATAAATTCTTTCAAACTGATCTATAGATTCAGTGGAATCCCAAACAAAAGGCACCAGGCTTTTTTGCTGGAGGTTGGCAAGCTGGATCTAAAATTCATGAGGAAGTGCAAAGGATCTAGGATAACCAAAAAGAACTTTATGAAAACAAAAGTGGAAGATCACACTACCTGATTCAAGAATCATTATAAAGCTACAGCAATGAAGACAGCTTGGAAAATTGGCATAAAAATAGGCAAAGAGAGGGGTGCCTGGGTGGCTCAGTTGATTGAGCACCTGACTCTTGATTTCTGCTCAGGTCATGATCTCAGGGTGGGGAGAGGGAGCCCTTGGTCCAGCTCCGTGCTCAGTGGGGAATCTCCTTGGGATTCTCTCTCTCCCGCTCTCTCTGCTCCCTCCCCCCACTCTCTAAATAAGTAAATAAAATCTTCTAAACAATCTGCAAATAGACCAGTGAAACACAGAGTACAGGAATAGGTTCACACACATATAAAGGACCACTGATTTTCAACAGAGGTACAAAGGCAACTCAGCAGAGAAAGGATCATTATTTCAACAAACAGCCCCAGAAACTGGGTAGCCATAGGCAGAAAAAACAAACTTGAATTATATCTCACACCATATACCAAAACTAACCCAAAATGGATAATAAATGAAAAATATACAAAGCATGGAACATTCATATAATGCATTACTACTCCGCAGTAAAAGGAATAGCTATCGATTATCGCATCAACATGAGTAAACTCGAAATAATTACGCCGACTGAAATGAGCTAGGCAACAAGGGACAGGACCACGACTCCGTTTATATGAATTACAGGAAATGCAAGCTGATGTACAATGACCCAGCAGACCGGTACTTGCCTGGTGAGGGGGCCGGAGGGAAAGGGGAAACTCTGGGCTATTTACTTTGTTGATTGTGGTGACGGCTTTACGGGTGTATACAGATGTCAAACACAGCAAACGTAAATATGAGGTTTTGTGTGTCACTACACCACAATAAGGCTGTTTTCATAAGATCCTAAAGATGGCTCCAATCCAGCTTAAATGCTAGACCCCACCCCCACATTACCTACTCAGAACACGGGAGGGTAGGGGCTGGGGCCACGGTCTGGGGCAGGACCCAGCCTGGCGGAGAACACGTTAACCAGCTTGGGTGCGCCCGGCTGAGCCGCGGGGAAGGCACGGCTCCCAGCGCGGGCGTAAGCCGCACAAGCAGGGGTGGGGTCTGCGGCCCTAGCCACGCCCACAGACCCTGAGATTTCCACCCCTCCCCGCGCCCCACCCTCCGTCTAAGAGTGACGCCCCGCTCCCGTCCCACAGACCCCACACTCCACCCAAGCCCGGCCATACCCTCCGCCCCAGGCCGGGCCCCTCTGGTCCTCAAGCCCCGCTTCGTCCTGGCCACGCCCCATCCGAGACTCCGCCCAAGCCCCACCCCTCCGCCGCCTCAGGCCCCGCCTCCAGGCCCCGTCTGTTCTTGCCTCACAGCTCCGCCTCAAGCCCCGCCCCTCCCGCAGGCCCCACCCCATCTCGCCCTTAAGGCTCCGCCCAGGCCCCGCCCCCGCCCCAGGCCCCGCCCCGCGGAGCCGAAGGCCGAGCCGCGTGTGTCCCGAGCGGCTGCAGAGGTGGGCGCAGGCCCGGGGTCGCCGCCGCGCCGGGGTGTGGCTCCGGGTCGGGCTCCGAGCAGCCGGGAGCCTCGCGCAGAGCGGCCTCCGGACGCGGCCGTGCAGGTAAAGCCCCCGCCCCGCCCGTCCGCCGCCCGGGGTCGCGGGGTCCCGGGATCCCGGGGTCTGGGGGTCCCAGCCCCGCCCGCCAGGCCCCGCGCGCGGCCCCGCCACTCCACGCCCCAGCGCGGCCGCGCGCCCAGGGCTTGGCTTTTCTCCCTTCTCGCTTTCCTTCTCTCTCCACCACAACTGAAATGCAAGGCGCCGCCCCCGGGGCCGCGTGCTCGTCCCCGCTGGGCTGACAAAGAAGGGCTCTCTCCGTGCTCGCAGTTCTGTGAGGGCTGTCAGGATGAGCCAAGTGCTAAGCTCCGACAGCCGCCACCCCGGCCACAGCCGCCACCCCGGCCACAGCCGCCACGCCGGCGGCCACGAGCGCGCACCGCTCGGTCGCCGGTCGTTTGCCCATCCCAATGCCCCCCGCATTCCTCTTTCTCGGGAAACCCCTGCAGCCCCGTCTTCCTGGTTTCCAGCCTCAGGAGCTCGGAGGGGCGGCCCCTCCTCCGGCGGGCCAGCCCCTGCTCCCGTAGGTGTGCCATGGGTGTGTCCAGGGTTCCCGGACCAGCCAGCGGTCAGCGCGACCTGCCCTTGCTCTTCTGGGTGGCTTTGGGAATCTCGGAGAGAAGTTACAGAGACCCCCGCTGGCCAGATGCTTCAGTGTGCCGGTGACATCTCCCGCAGAGTCCGAGTGTTCCCCGGGGTTCCCTGCGGCACCGCGATGCTGATCGCCGCTCTCTTTTAGGACTAGAGGAGAGCACCGCTTTTCCTTGCGTGGAAGGAGGGAGCGTTGACGCCTGTGTCAGATGGTCACTTGCACAGCGGCGGCTGGGGGAGTGAGGAAGAGCGCAGGTCTGCAGTACCCAGTGGGAGGAGACCGCCCTCCCCCCGTCCCCAGGTGTGGTCAGCATGGGCCCCGTGGGCAAACAGAGCCCCTCATCCCTGCCGGTCCCCGCGGGGGGGTCCTGCCTCATCCTCCTCTTTTGCTTGCGCTTGGGCGCTTCCTGCCCACAGAGCTGCCAGTGCCCTGAGCACGCTGGGGCCGTGGCCGTCCACTGCAGTGCCAGGGGCCTGCAGGAGATCCCCAAGGACATCCCCGCCAACGCTGTGCTCCTGAAGCTTGATGCCAACAAGCTCACCCACATCCCCAACGGAGCCTTCCAGCACCTGAACCAGCTGAGGGAGCTGGACTTGTCCCAGAACACCATCGAAACCATTGGCCCCGCTGCCTTTTCGGGCCTGGCTGGGGGCCTGCGGCTGCTGGACCTGTCACATAACCGCATCCGCAGGATTCCGAAGGACGCCCTGGGCAAGCTCAGCGCCAAGATCCGCCTGTCCCACAACCCCCTGCACTGCGAGTGTGCGCTGCAGGAGGCCCTGTGGGAGCTGAAGCTGGACCCTGAGTCTGTGGACGAGATCGCCTGCCACACGGCCGCGCAGGAGGAGTTCGTGGGCAAGCCGCTGATCCAGGCTCTGGACTCCGGGGTCAGCTTCTGCAGCACCCACCGCAAGACCACCGACGTGGCCATGCTGGTCACCATGTTCGGCTGGTTCGCCATGGTGATCACCTACGTCGTGTACTACGTGCGCCAGAACCAGGAGGATGCCAGGAGGCACCTGGAGTACCTGAAGTCCCTGCCCAGCGCCCCCGTGTCCAAGGACCCCATCAGCCCAGTGCCCTAGTGCCTGCTGGCGGAAGCAGAACACCGCCCACCTGTCCCCCTCACTTCCGTAGCAGGTGGTGGCTGACCCAAGCTTTCGGTGCCACGAGCACTGGGTCCTCCCAGCCCCCTCTGAGCGGCATTCTGCCCCCACAGACCCCTCCCTTGTGTTGCAAGTCACTGCGCCACGCTTCAAGTCCGAAATATGACCATCAGGCCCACTTGAGGGGCCAGGAAGCCAGAGTTTGGAGAAATGGCGTTGCCCACGACCACACAGTCAGGCAGTGACCCCTTTGGGACTTAAAACCAGGCCGTCTGTCATAACGTTCCATGTCCCTTGCGCTTTGCTGGCCTCGGCCGCGTGGCGCCTGTAGGGTGTGAATGGCATTCCAAGAAGAAAGGCTCTTGTCCATGCGTGTGAGGTCTGCCCCGCAGACGGTGGGGTGTAGACTCATCTGTGGAAGGCAGAACCGATTTACCTTGTCCCCCTGGTAGTATTTCCTGAACCCATCTGACTGCAGAACTCTTTCCAGAGCAAAGTAGTAGAGACCAGGTTTTTCTCGAGAGGTAAGTGAAACAGGTAGTTGTTCAAACTAACCTTTGAACAACTTTGTTTATTCTCAGAGTGTTGGTTAAGAGTAGCAATTGTGCCAAAATTTCAGTCCGGGGAGAGTGGGGGAGAAACCCTAAGACCCCCAAACCAAGAAAACCACGGACAGAAACCCGAGAAAGGTCCAGAGTGGATCATCAAGGGGGGCAGTGTCGTGCGTCCCTGCCGCGAGTCCCACCAGTGTCTGTGCCTGGTCCGGGGGAAGGCCCGTCATCCTGGGTCTGCAGTGTGCCTTGCCTCTCTACTCACAAACACCGAAGCCGCTCCTTCTCAAGGACAGGTGTTCGGTGTGTCAAGGCCCGTCAGTGGGATGCTACCTTTTCTCCAGCAACAGGAACCCCCTGCCTTGCTCCCTCTCTGTCCCCCCGTCTCTGTCTGTCTTCACCTCTGCCCCCAGGAATCTCAGAGCTAACTCAGCATATTCTCTCAGCTGTGTTACTCTACATTCAGGGTAGACGTTACCTCCACCTAACTGTGAGCCGTCTTTCTAGTTTTATTTTTTGATGTCTTTTTTAAGAGTGCTTATTTTTAAATTGCTTCAAATATTTGGGGGGGGAGCACAAATAGGGATAAATTGCTTATGAACTTAAGGTGTACAGATTACAAGCCTCGTGAAGCAGATGCTTAGAAAGAATTAAAATAGAGGGTGGTTTGTACCGGGGGATTGTCCTATGACCTCAGGTGGGCCTTGAACACCTGATCCCGTCTACGGGTTGACTCAGAGATCCAGACTCCACAGCTGACACCCAAAAGGCCCATCCAAGCAAGGTCCTGATTTTTTCGGTTATGGTGCATTACAAAGAAATGACTGACAGCTCCCAAATACCCTCCCACACACAAGCACCCCACTTCTGCCCAGACCAGGGGTGCGGGGATGGGAGGCAGGGCCTGGGCACCACCTCCTGTGGCCTGTCAGTCCCAGGGACCCGGGTGGGCACTGCTGCTGGCCTACCAGCAGGGCACAGGCTCCTTGGGTGGTTTGGGTCCCCCTGCCCACCCATGCTAGGGCGCACACAGTGGGGAGAGGGGTCCCACCACACAAGGAGCTCACCACCTGTGGGTTTGCCCAAGGGAGGTGACCTGACAGAGATGCGGAGTCATGTGCCAGGGTCCTGTGGCTGCTACTCATGTCCTGGGGAGAGCCTCGCCTTGCTGTGGGGGAAGCCTTGCCCTGGGGGGCCCTGTCCCGCTGCCAGGGAACTCGCCATTTCCTCTTGTGCCAGAATCAGCCCAGATCCTGGGTTCCACCCAAATGCGGCTCTTCGGGGGATGCATGGGGAGTGGGGTGGGGCTGCCCCTTTCCGAGGACCCTGGACACACCAGAAGGGTCCTCTCCCTGTCACCCTGAGCCGAGCGTCGGGCTGCCAGGCCCTCCTGGTCTTTCTGGGACCCTCACCCTTCAGGGGCCATTCCAGAGTGGACACCTTCCTCCAAAGAAGCCCACCAAATCCCTAAACTTCAGGACCACAAAGCTCCTTCCTGCTCATGGGAGTTCACACCCCTGGTACCCGGGAGCACTCTGCTGTCCCGGGGTACAGCCATCCTCCCCCCTTTCCCCCTCCTTTTCTCTCTCCTTGAGAGACCCCTTAGGATGACGCCCTGCCTGGGCCCACCCCCTTCCTTGCTGCCGTGTGTGAGCACATATCGCTGGATGCCCCCACAGGCCCTACAGCTGACGCAGCCCCCACCCCTGCCGCGATGGGTGGTTGACCACATCCTAAATCTGCAGAGGCTGGGCAGGGTCACGCTGGCCTCGTTGAGAGAATCGGTGTTGACAGTGTCAGGTATAGGACAAAGGGGTTGCCCCGTCTGTCGGGGGCAATGGGGTCACAGCCTATGGGACATGGGTGGCCCCCGGCTCTCACTGTGATCCGAATAGGGACCTTCAGAGCACTTTATACAGACACATGGCCTGGTCTGCAAAGCTCCTTGGCCACAGGAGGTAACACTTCACAGGTCAGGGGTCAGGGCAGGGTGATTTGGGGACTCCCCATGGGACAGAGGGTTGGAACAGCCATCCAGCTTGGGGTGGGAACGGCTCCTCCCTTCCCCTGGGGGTGGGTGGTGGGGCTCTGGCTTCTAGGGAGGCCGCAGGGCCAGGGGGGTGAAGAGGGCCAGAGAGGGGCTCATGGAATCCTTTGGGAGCCAGGTCACCCTGCCCAGATGCTCTGGTTGAGCTGCTCCCTCGGTCCCCAGCCTCACCGTGGATAGAGCCCCACCCCTGACCCTGACCGTAGGAGGGGGCGCCCTATGCCCGTGGCCTCCTGGTACCCCAGCCTCCCTCCTCTTTGGGCTTTGGGGTCACTCTCTCGGGTGGCCCAGTGTGGGATGGGCCGTGCTGACACTCGGGGGCTCTCCCTGGTGAGGAGGAGGCTCCCAGCTCCGCTCCAGAAGCCCTTCCCAGACCTCTCCCAGGAGCTGCCTGCCAGGCTGTGGGAGGCAGGACAGGCACCACCGGGACTTCTGCGGGGCTGGGACTGGGAGTGCTTGCAGCTGCGGATGCACAAAAGAGCTTCCCTCCTGCACGCGGCCCTATAGCCCAGGCCCCAGGGACCGCCTCGCACTGCAGGGCCCCCAGTTCCCAGCTTGGCCTACAGGGGGTGGATGAGTTTTAAACTAGACATGAGATTGGGTAAACCCAGTCTGGATGTATGTTTCCTAATGGACAGTAGTCGTGGGCAGGAGATGAGGGTGTCCGGCGGTTAAAAGCAGGGGCTGCACAGCATGGTGCTACAGGGGCCGCCTGGGGGAGCTTGCATTCCCTCGGAGGTCTAAGGAATGTGTGCGGGTGGACTCCCTGCTGCGGGGGGCTGGAGTGGGGCCAGGCTCAATTGAACAGCTCCGCCCAGCGTTCGGCAAAGTCAAGGCCGGGGCTCGAGGACCAGTCTCCTAGGGGTTCTGAGCAGCGCAGTACAGCTTGGCCCTGGGTGCTGGGGGCCCCTCAGTGGGTGCCGTGCACCGGCTCGGCCCTGGCTGGCTTGCCCTCCTGCACCACGCTCCCCAGGCTCCCTTGCAGCGCGTTCTCCAGAGATGCATGTACATGAGACTTTGATCCTGGACTCAGTTACCTGGGGAGGAGGCAGGGCTGCTTGGGCAGACCGTGGCAGAGATGGAATGTTCTGGAGGTGTGGCAAGTGCAGGAGCCTGGGTTGGTTTCTGGAGCCATCTCTCCCGGAAGCTGGGTCTAAAGTCTGAGCCTGCTGTCCTCCTCACTGCCTCTGAACTCTCAATAAACCTCGCTGTGCTTAAATCATCTGGCGTGGATTCTGTTATCTGCACCCCTGTGACCCACCCGACAGACCCAGCGCCCCCGCCCTGCCCCCTTCACTGTAGACCTCGTCACGAAGCCGACCTGCCAGGCCTGCCGGACCCGCGAGCCCACGGCGTGGAAGAGCTGGGTCAGCACAGGGCTGCCGTGGGTGCTGGGGCCAGCTCCTACCGGCTCAAACCGGCTCTTGGTGGCCAACAGTTAAATCTGGGGGAGGTGGTGAGCCAGTTGACATCATGATGGCAGCTTGAGGTTGGCCACGGGCAGTCTTTACACCAGGCAGTTGACAGCCAGGCCCCGCTCTCCTGCCCCAGGAGACTGTGAGCCAGGTGGCCGTAAACGGGTGTCCCCAACAGCCTGTCCCAGCCCAGGCCCCCTCCTGTCCCCTGTCCACCTTCTGCTCCTGGCTGCCCTGGCCAGGTCACGTGTGTTCTGGGGACTACCCCCCGCTTCCCACGCCCTCCCTGCCCCTTATCTCCCGGAGGGGGAGGGGCGTCTCTCTGCCACCTGCAGGGACTCCCCCCTGCCTTCCACGGTGTCGCCCAGCCCTGCCATTCCAAAAAAGAGATCACCTGGTGCAAGAACCAGCCCCTCTCTCCCCCGGTCAGTGGGGCTCTCTCTGTGTGAATGGTGAATTTTTTTTTTATGCAGGAACTCCTTTTTCTGCAGTTTTACCTTTTCTAGAAGTTTCATGGAGGCGGAATCTTTTGAACACAAAACTATTATCCGCACCGAAAAATTACAGTGGCTCCCCAGTGCCACTCAGCGGCCACGTTTCCCTGATCGTCTCTAAACCATTTTGGGGATTGTCTGAGTCGGGATCTCCATAAAGGTCAGACCGCACACCTGGCTGGCATGTCCATGATGGCTCTTGTAACGTAGACGCTCTCATCCGTCTGCCTTTGACTTCCTTGCAGTTCCGTGGTCGTCCTGTGAACCTCCTCTCGTCTGGATTTTGCTGTGTGTCCTCTGGTGGTGTTTAGCTTGTCCTCTGTCCCCGGTTTCCTGGAACCGGTAGTTCTGTTTGATTTCTCTAGCAAGGCCACATCCTGGGTGGTGTGCCCTTCCAAAGAGGGCGTGATGTTAGCAGCCACCCATGATCAACACTGAGGTCTGCTGACTCCCTGGGGCCACTGACCCTGGATTCTCGGCCCTGCGGCCCCTTCCCCATCTGTCAGCTGGAGTCTCCCGTAAAGAAGAGCAGCCTCCACCACACATTGGTTCTCCGATGGCTGTGTCACGTGGGAACGGCAGGGTGAATGCCTGGTTCTTTACCTGTTTTCAAAAGAAAGTTGGTTCCTCTGAAAATGACCGGTAGTTTTGAAAGCATCATTATGCATGAGTTTAAACACACGGGCTGGGTTACAAACTGCTGGGCTTCCTTTCCTGGATGAAGCTCGAATCGTCCGTGCGGCAGGTGGGAGCCTCTCCGCGTGGGCTGAGTCTGGTGGCCTGCCCCCCGGGTGGGACAGCGTGTTCTTGTCCCTGCACCTCCCCTGCCCCACCCGGGCTCAGCCGGTGCTCTGGTTCCTTTCCGCAGGGTGACCTTGCAAGACCTCTGTGCCCCGTGGGCCCTCGCTTGCAGGCCCGTCCGTAGACAGCCGTGGGTTCATATGGATGCTTCCAGCTTAACCCCGGGCCGCAAGATGGCCCTTACTGCCTGGCCCCTGTGCCCTGCCCCACCCGCCGGCACTCGGCGAGCCCGCTCTGCCTTCACCCTTCTCCCCTCCTGGTCCCGGTCACAGGGACGTCCACATCTTCATGCCACAGATGGAAGGTGTGGCCCCGAGCCACGGGGAGCAGGGAGGAAGGCAGGTGCCTTTGGAACCTGGAGAGGCACGGGAGCAGATCCTCCCCTGGAGCCTCCAGAAGGAACCAGTCCTGCCCACACCTGGATTTTAGCCCCGTGGGGCCCATTTCGGACTTCAGACCTCCAGAACTCTAAATTAATAACCTGCATTGTCGAGGCTACGAGGTGTGTGGCACTTTGTTACAGCGGAGCCTCAGTGGACAGACACAGTCCCCACTTTGAGAGTGGCCGGTGTGGCCAGAGCAGACGGCTGCCGTGCCCCATGGCGCCCTACTCACCATCGCTGTGTCTGAGTTCTCGGGGCCAGTGTGCCCTTCAGGCCGTGCCCAGGTGACCTCGGGAGCTCACTTCACCCATCGGCCTCACTCCTTTTCCAGAGGAAGGGCCACCAGGGAGCGGGCAGGAGCCACAGTGTGGGGGTGCAGCGGGGTGGTACCCACAGACACCACACACGATCTCACGTGTGCACCCCATACATGTATGACACATGCACACGACGCAAACAGGTTCACATGTGCAGTCCTATATGCACACGTGCACACACACACTCACGCTCACTACACAGCAGGCAAAGCCACTCACACGCATGGTTGCACACACACGTGCTCACACAGGGCCATACGCTACTCATTCTCATGCCCGCCCCCCTGGCAGGCGGGCACCCCCACTCATTTCTCCCCCAGAGCCCCCTCAGCCTCGCCCACACCGGCTGGAGAGAGGGAGAGTCTTGCCACCTGTCTGACCTGGGGGGGCCTCTGGGCAGATGGCTGGGGGCTCCATGAGCTGGGCTGGGCATGGGGCGGGGGGCAGGGGGCCGGGTGGGCACGCTAGCAGGGAGCAGGCGCTTGACCCCGCTTTGGGGGCGGGGCAGGGCCGGGGTACCGAAGGTCCCAGAGTCAGGAGGGTGCCCAGGCCTGCGGAAGTGGGCAGGAGGTCTGCAGCGGCCCTCAGGCCTCCGGTGGGCCCAGCGCGGGGCTGCCCGCCCTGCAGGGGCAGCGGTAGCACCCAGCGCCAGCCAGCCTGCTCATGAGCAAGCCTCGCGAGTTCTCCCAGTGGCCTGGCGCGGTTGGGAATATTTCCATTTTCAGCTGAGAAACCAAGACTCCGAGGTCTGGAGGGGACAAATGCCCAACTCAGGAGCCAGCTGGGCAGGAATCTGGGCCTCCTGACGCCCGGGCCTGGAAGTTCTCAATCGGGAAGGACAGGCCCGAGTGCTGTCAAAACAGAGGTAGGCCTCGGTTTCGCCCTGGCTCAAAGCACAGGGAGTGTGAGGAGGGGCAGCGGCACGTCCACGGGCCCAGCGAGGCCAGGAGTGCGGGGTCTGCTTGCGTCACCCTGGCCCAGAGGAGCGGGTGCAGGGCTGGCTGCCAGGCCGGCCACCGGGTGCTGCCCGTGACGTTGGCTGTCAAAGCAGCTAGGCTCCTAGTCTGTGCAGACGCGGAGGGGAGACAGCACCCCAGAGCCCTAGGCCCACTGCGCCAAGCTCTCCTGGGGATCCAATGCTCCTGGACAGGGTGGACGGCCGAAGGGAGGGCCACAGACACCGCGGAGGGAGGGACCGGCGTGGGGGCAGTGTGGCCACCAGGGGGCGTCAGCAGGGGGGGACGCGGGGGCACACAGGCTACACGACCGTCCAGGGTCCCCTGAGCTGGCGGGCGCCCAGCTGGGCTGTGACCCGGCTGCCGGGCAGCAGTGGACGGCAGACAGACACGGCGCCGTCCCCGAGCCTCAGCAGGCAGGCCGAGATGGCCACGTGGAGGAAGAAGAGCACGGGTCCGGAAAGATGGGGGGACCGTGCACCCACCCAGCTCGTGAGTGGTTGTGGCCGTGTGGCTCCAGGACAGTCTGCGGGCTGGGGCGTCGCCCCTGGAAAGTGTCTTCCCGAGACAAGCCCACCCGGCTCCCAGCCAGCCCGCGGGGCTGAGGGGCATG